CTCCAATCTTATATGTTTGCAATGTTTTAAAATTTCATATCCCTGGCAATCTGTTAAACATAATACTGCTAGAATATATGGGGCTGCTGCCATTGGGTAGACAACCTGTCCTGAGGAAAGTGGTGCGAAGGAAGACTGAGAAGGCCTTTCCTGGACCACCCTGGCACACACTGGTCAGGTGACCAGCAAGGCTCATTCTTCCCTTTCAGTGATTCGCTGATTGTAAGATTAGAAGGTTGGGAGCAAAGTGACAACAAATGTGTGGTTCATTCAGCTTTTTAACAAATAAAAGTAACTGAGCAGCCCTAACCAGTTTGCTCAGTGGATAGAGCGTCGGCCTGCGGACCGAAGGGTCCCAGGTTCCATTCTGGTCAAGGGCATGTACCTTGGTTGCGGGCACATCCCCAGTAGGGGGTGGTCAGGAGGCAGCTGATCGATGTTTCTCTCTCATCGATGTTTCTAACTCTCTATCCCTCTCCTTTCCTCTCTGTAAAAAATCAATAATATATATATAGTAACGAGCAGTATTCAAAACCTTGGCACACTAATGCTCTGAAATTGCAGTTTTATCATAGGTCTTGGTCTGTTCACTTCTACATCCTGAGAATCAGAAAAGCATTTGAGATATATGATCTACTCAGTAAATACTTATTAAGTAAACCCTATAAAAAGAGATGAACAACCTCTTTGTGTTCTCCATGTACTTCCTGGAATTGCTGTTATTTCCAAGGCTTTTACTACCACTGGTAATTACTTATGACTTTGCATGAGCTTCAGAGAAAACTGAACTTAGATGTGCTATGAGCACACACACCAATCACCTGTATTTAATTATAAGCAAAATTAAACTTATCTTTCTCCTCAAAATTTTAACTCTCTCAAATATTCACCATCTACCCATTAATGTAGGATATATTTTAGACTTTTCTCTATCCCTATTTTATTTCCCACTACATCCAATTTGTTTTTATCCTGGACATTAACCTATTTAGTATTGTTCACATTCTTCCCCACCCAATTATTCTCACAACTTACTGCCTTAGTTCACATTCTCTTTATTTCTAATTGGGCTGTTATAATCAGAGCTCATCAGACCCACCTGCCTCCTTCCTCAGCCCTCTCCATCCCAAATACAGTGGGGCCTTGACTTATGAGTGTCCCGACTAACGAGTTTTTCCGAGATATGAGCTGACTCTCAGCCGATTTTTTGCTTTGAGTTACGAGCTAAAATTCGGGTTACGAGCCAGCTTCAGATACCCCACCGCTAGTTGGCGCAGCGAACGTCACAGTGAACGCCACAACATCAGCCCAGCATCACGTGTCTCACTCGTTCACTGTTGATTTGACATATGAGTAATTTGAGTTACGAGCTCCGTCACGGAACGAATTAAACTCGTAAGTCAAGGCCCCACTGTACTTGGAATGTATAGTAATTCTTCAAGATCAGTGGTCTTCAAATGTTCATTTTTGTTTTTTCTCCTTTACTAAAAGAATTTTGAAAAATTATTCATATTTCCTCTTATATTTTTAAGTTGACCTCTATACTTTTTATGGTAAGTTTAAATAGTTACAAAATATGTGATTTCTAGCATACCTATTGACATTTTTAGACAAAAAAAATTCATATAATTTTTAAATGGATTTCATAGGCTGTAAATACCACAGTGATTTGATACCTACCTGTTTCTGATTAAAATGTACATCAAGTTCTTTTTCTCCTTCAATCATTTTTCCATTCCACTTTACCCTAAAATATTATTTTAATGTAATTCATGTTCTTTTATGTTGGAGAGTCCTTTATTCCTTGCCCCATTATACTTTTCTAAAAGATTTTAATATATTAAAATTGAGTTTTTTTAAATTTCTTGTGATCACAAGATTCTAAGTTATAAATACACAATTCACTAAACACACACACACACACACACACACACACACAATGTGTAAATGCATATACAGGTATATATTCTGGATAGAGAACATACCCTATATAATAAAATGCTAATATGCAAATCGACCAAACAGCAGACCAACTAGTCACTATGACATGCACTGACCACCAGGAGGCAGATGCTCACTGCAGGAGCTGCACCCTGGTGGTTGTGCAGTGGTGGTGGTGGGGAGTGGGCCTAAGCTGGCAGTCAGACATCCCCCGAGGGCTCCCGGACTGCGAGAGGGTGCAGGCCGGTCTGAGGGACCCCCATGAGTGCACGAATATCGTGCACTGGGCCCCCCATGAGTGCACGAATATCGTGCACTGGGCCTCTAATATTATATAATGTAACAAGAGTTTAAAAGTTTCCCTTAAACTTTAGAGAGGATAAGTGCATAATCAACTCTATTTTTTTCTTCAAACATATTGAAAACTCAGAATGAATTCAAGCAATTGGGACTGAGAGATAATCAGAAAGCTCACCCAAGAATCAAATAATACAAATAAAAAGTGATAATCAATATTCTCTTACAACCAGTGCATGTGAACCTGTGTGTGGTATATAAAATTCAATTATGGCCCCCAAGATTCCCACCCACTGGTGTACACACTGTATAACTCTCACCCCTTGAGTGTGGGTGTGAACATTATGGAACCACTCCTGCGATTAACTTATTAGCTTATATTAGCTTCATAAAAATGAAGTGAATTTGCAGATGCAATTAAAGTCCCTCATCAAAATCTACTTTATGTTAATTAAAGAAAGACTACCTTAGATGAGCATTTCCTAATTAATCAAGCTCTTTAAAAGAGGGTATAGGGGTAAAAAGCTCAAAGGAACAGATAGCCATCCTGTTGGCTTTTAAGAGGTAAACTGACTTATTGTGGAGAGGGTCAGATAGTGAGACACAACAGGCATTCTCTATGAGCTGAGGACTTCGGCACTATAACCACAAGGAACTGAATTCTGCCAATAACCAGTGAACTTGGAATGGAACCCTGAGTCTTAGATGAGACTGTAGTTCTGGCAGGCATCTGGATCACAGCTTTGTGAGATCCAATACTAAGAACCCATCTAAGTCATGCCTGCACTAATGACCAACAGAATCTATGAGATAATAAATATGCATTGTTTTAAGCCATCAAATTATTTTTGTAATTTGTTATGCAGCAGTAGAAAACAAATACATAATTGAAATTTGATTTTACATTATAGGCTTTACCAAACTAATTCCAAATATCTTGATTTTTGCATTATAACTTTATTATATATTGAAGCCAAAATATTATGAAAGGATATTCATAAAACATTATCTCATACTTTGCAGAATTCCCAATGTCAACTTTTATTCATTTTATAAACTAAAAGCTTCCCTGTAATAAATTATTTCTAAAATATTTCCAAAGCTCAGAAGAGTATTTTAATCTTAACTTTAGGTTTTGCCTCACAAGTTCTACCATTTTCTTAGAATTAACATCCTATAAACACCACCCTCTGTTTAACAAAGCCATCAGAATTATTGCATGCTACTTGCAATAATTAGTTGACTTTTCCTCAGACAGAAAAGAAAGATAATCTATGTAATAGTTAGGAAGTGTTATATTCATTCCATTTCTCTCCTCTCCTAATGTCCTTTAAAAATAACCAAAGATTGTTTGGGAAAATGAAGAGGAGAGCAACACGTGGATATTTTGGGTGGTGGGCGGGGTTGGGGGGGGAGTGGTATCAGTTGAAGGGTGAATGTGCAGGTAAGTATGCTTGTGTGTATGCCTAAAACACACCAAAAATACAAGAGACAATTTATAAGAGTACCTAAAACACACACACACACACACACACACACACACACAGGGAAGGAAAACAGTTGTTTTGTTGTACCTAAAATGGTCTAGAATGATGGAAAGAGTAACAAGATTTTAAAAGTCAACAAGTGGAACTAATTTAATCTATACAGGGACACACTGTCACAGGAGTTGTCTTTTATTTTAAAGGTCCGAGCAGATGATTAAATTTCCTTGGAACATTGTGTTCACATTGAGAGCCTTCCAGATTCTGCGGTTACTTCACATATGCCAGACATGGCCCTTTCTATGGGCTTTGATTTGTCCCAAACACTTCCTTTTATTAGCGGGTCTAAGTGAAGAGAGATTTACCTTGGCAGTATCATACTGTGGATAACACCAAATTAGGTTTGTTCAAAGGGCTATCCCCATCCTCTTTATAATATCAAGTCAATTATATCATTATTACACCTTACTAAATGTATGCAGTTCTACTGGTCTTAAAGCCTTTTAGAATTCAGCTGGAAAAAATAAGACCCATCTGTACTCATATAAATAAAAGCATGTCTATGTCTAATTGTTATCCATTAATATTATTTCAGAAAAGAGTAAAAATATGTGAGTGAACCATGGAGGAGAGGACCAAATATACAGATTTAAAGGGATACCACAAAGCAAGTGAGAAAAGAAAGTTTTTACCATAAATTCAGAGAGTGGGAGGGGGTAAGGACAGTACATAGAAAAGAATTGTAGAACTGCTAAGAGAGGTTGAAAGAGAATGCAGGTTGTGTACAAGGACAGCCTTGGGGACCAGCTCCTAGAGATTAAAGATTTGTTATTCATCACTGCAGCTTCTGTCCTTCACCAGAGGAGGTTCACAGTGAGCTGACAGCCAATGTAACGTCTGGGGAGGAAAGGTAAGGAAAGGATACAGGATTGGAAGGTAAGAGTCTAAGGTCCTAGCTTTTACAGCGTCATGACATTATGACACTTCATATAATCTCTGATCTTTTTCTCCTTCTGTGGATTTTTTTTCCTTGATGACATGAGAATGCTTAGGACTTTTAATAAGTATAAATGTTTTGTGAGTATGTGTGCACTTGTGTATTTCTCTCCTTCAAAATAATGGATTGGGTAGGATTATGTAACACATTTTTAAAATATTAAAAACCTGCACACATTAAAGCATCAAGTAAAATAGTTGTTAACCAGTCTCACTAATAATCACCTGCTTCGATTCAATCTGTGGGAGGAAAAGGAAGCAATAAATTTGACCCTAACTTACCACACATTTTAATTGCACAGTACTCCCAAGGGGTGTCAGGGTCAAGAGTATAGCACCATGGCCTCGGCTTGCCATCAGGATTGCGGCAATAATTATCATCAAAGCCCTTGTCGGGATATCTGCAAACCACACCAACAAAAGTGTCACGTAAATCTGCCTGGAAACACCTCCCAGCCCCCAGCTCACAAAATAACCTCTGATCCAGCTCAGATACTGCTAGCTGAGGGGAAGAGAAAAAAAAAAGTTCTCTGTGTTTCGCCTTACAAGGACTGCTAATCATTGTTGAATCTGTGAACTTACATATTCCACCAAGTATAGAGTACCATCACCTTTACTAATAAGTTAAGTCCATTGGGTACCTGTCTACCATTTGAGGTCCAAAACCTAAACCTCTTTTCATAAAGCCCAGTTAAGAACAGATTCCATAAACATGACCTCGTGTAAAATACTCATTGAAAAAACCGGTCTTCTTCCATGGCAGGCTATAAGTTTAAACCAAAAGGTAGGTTTCAAGAGCTGTTACTAATGATATAGCTCAATTCTGGAACCAGAGCCTTTCTAGGTCATGCCCTCACCTCCCCTGGAGCAAGAGACAAACTCCATCACACCCCTTTCTCCATACCCCCCTCCCTTTCAATTAGCTGGGGCCTGCATCGGTGACTTGATTTTAATTGCTACCATGTCCCTTCGGCTCTCATTTGAAGGACTAGAGATGCACTGAAAAATAAAGCCGAGTTTTAACCTCATTTAGAAGAACAATAAATGAAAATATAAAGAAGAAAAAACACGTTTCTAAAAACACATTTCTAAACAAAGATAGGGAGAAAGCTTCCTCTGGAATTATTATCTGTATTTTTATTCTTTATAATAAAAACAAGATTTTTTTTTTCAACTAAAGTGTTTCATGTGAAATGAATGGGTCAAAGTAGATATTTCTTTTAACCATTTAAGTTCCAAAACCTACTTCTGAGGAGAAGGTAGACTTGGTTACCTGACTTCTCCAGATTGACAATTTCAAAATACAGCAGGAGAGCCCTAGCCAGTTTGGGCCTGTGGATAAAGTGGCCGCCTGCAGACTGAAGGGTCCCAGGTTTGGTTCATGCCCGGGTTGCACATGCCTGCGTTGCAGGCTCGATCCCCAGTGGGGGGGGGGGCGTGCAGGAGGCAGCCAATCAATGGTTCTCTCTCATCATTGATGTTTCTCTCTCTCCCTCTTCCTTCCTCTCTGAAATCAATACAAACATACTTTTAAAAACTACAGCAGGGTAAATCAGCCAAAGAATCATTTGCTCTACCTTCCATTCCCTTTTCCTTTTCCTCTCTGAAATCAATACAAATATATTTCTTAAAAATACAGCAGGATAAATCAGCCAAAGAATCATTTGCTCTACCTTCCGTTCCCTTTCCCTGGGCAGGACCTCTGTCATGGTGTCACCCATGGGAGCCCATTTTACCTAACTCACGGAAGATGTGGCTCTAGAAAGAGTCTGGCTTGTATTTAGCAAGAATGCCCCCTCCCAGAGCTCAGGTTTGTCAAAGAGGTCATTATTGAATGGGCCTCTGTCTTTTTTCTGCTGTGGAAGAGAAAGAGGAAGCTTCTGTTAGTGCTTCCCTTTCACTCTCCACGGGTGCTCCTCAGGACCGTCCTGATTTCTGGGAATTGGAATCTAGTCAGCCAGGACCAACTGGAGTGTACACAGCACTCAGGTACCTCATCATAAGTCCCTTTGCCCAAGACTTTCCAGAAAACATTCTATAAAGAGAATTTCCATTTCAGTTTGTCAGGGAGCAAATAACCGCTTGAGAAAAGAATCGCTGGGAGCACTGTTGGTGGCATTTTACCTTTCTGGCACGAATTTGTGCCGATGTGGCGTCTGATGATCCCAGCGCTGACAAGTCTTGCCTGATTCTGTATGATCCATGGGGCCTCGATAACTTTCCCCATTGCAGGTCATGCATTCTACTAATAAAATTAAAGCATGGCATGTTAATTGCTTCTGACAGAGAAATCAAAAACACCACTGTTCCATTCAAAGAACAGTAAATCATCTGTTTCACAAAGAGATTTCTAGAAAAAACTTACATGTCATTTTAACTTTAAATTATGGCCTAATGTCCATAAAGAGTGACATAAAATCCTCCTTACAAAACTTTTCATATAGCTTAAATGAGATTTTTGTCCTCAGTGTCATACAGATTTACCACAGGACCAGGAAATTACCTTTCTAATTTTTCAATAACTGTCCAAAGGTACTTAGAAACTGGAAATATCAGATAGAGCCTTGGGGTTTTCCTCTTGGTTTGTCTAAGCTGCAAGGGATCTCAGTAGTTATACTGTCAGTACAATAAAGCCCCCCTCTCAGCCGAACCTCCAATGACATGCACCGGAAATGAGTGTACATCTTACTCACATGGTCAATGCCCAAATTGGGATGAGACAGATTGTAGAGACCGGCTTTGCATACAAATCTGCTACTATTCAAAGAATATTTTAAAAGAAGAAAGCATAGCTCCTTTCTGCTAGCAAATATCCATGTTGAATAACTGGGCAGGCTTTACTCTTATCTAGCTGAGGATAGAAGTTGACCTACTATTGAACTCCTTGTACTCACTGTTTTTAAAATGTTTTAAGTTGACCTAGTTATGCAGAATCTTACTGATGATTCTGTGTGGTTAATTAATAGTTCTCTTCTGGCTGGCCTCTTATGTCACACTGAAAACCCTGAATCACATCAACTATCTGAAAAAGATACTTTCAAATGGACAGGTTGATTTGTAGTCCTACAGGCACCCTGTGGAATAAATCATTGCTTGGCTTTCCTACGGATCAGGCAAACTTCCCCAAACACATCATTTGTACCTTGTGATTACTGATCATCTACCTTTACTGAAAGGGAGCAAAGATGTCAATGTTTAGTTGTATCTACCAAGATCTAGCCTAATTAGCATTTGTAATAACTTGGGGTATAATATCAGAAAAATCACTTTTGAACCTTTGATTTATATCATCTAATAGGACATTAACTATTAACTCTCCAAAACATGAGACAGCTTGGCTTGATCCATCTACTTCTTTTCATGTAGTTTAATCTGTGAACTAAGACAGGGGACCAATTCAGCTTCCTCTCATTTGGTCCTGAGATTCCCAGACTACAGTCCATAAGCATGTGCACTATACATTTCAGGGGTCCAAGAGCATATTGATAACAGTTCTCTGTTTGGGCAAGGCCTCTTCAACATTGAAATGCTCAACATATATTACGCCTTATCACATAAGAGCTTTCCATTTGAATGCAGTACAGATTGATTTAGTTCCCTTTTTTAAAAGAATGCAAGATTTGATATCTTCACAGAAAAATGATGTGACATTTATCATTGTTGTTTGCTCCTTTGTAATGAATAAAATTGAATGAAAAAATGAATGCAATTAAATGAGAAAATAGAATAAAATTCTATGGTCAGACATAAGAGATAAGGGTCCACATATACAATTTCTAACCTTATATAGTACTCAAGCAATTAAAATATACCTATTTTGTCTCCTTCAGCAAATGCAGTTTATAAGAGTATATCCCCTTACATGAGAGTACATAAAGTTATTTTCTAGGAAGCTATACTATGGGGATTATTATAAAACATTTTTCCTGGGGACTTCAGGATTTTTTATTTTCTTATGACCACTTTCTAGAATGAGTGTGGTAGACCAGTGCTTCTCCAAACTTGAATGTGCATAAAAAGTCACGTTGAGATCTTGTTAAAGGGCAAGTTCTTATAAAGGGTTTTGGGGGTGGGGATGCTCCCAGCGGATGCTGATGCTTCTGGTACTTGGATCTCATGGTGAGTAGCAAGTTTGTAGATAATTTGTTCCATTCTAAAAGTTCTAAGTGTTTGTCAGTAATAGCTTTTTAGAAGAGAGTGGATTTTACCTGGTCCTTGAAGGATGGATGAGAGTTGGATAAGCTAAAAAGGGGCAAAATACCATAAAATGGTATAGAAATGTGAATTAGCATGCTATGTTTATGGTAAAGTGAAGAGATAATTATGGATGCAGTTTCAGACCTAGTGAGATTTTTTTTTAATAATAAAAGTTAACAAGAATAATGTTGGATTTTGGTAGTCAATGAATGTGTTATGGTGATAGAAGTGAGATGCTAAATATATTATCATTACATGTTCTTTGATTATTCAGTACTTTTAATGTATAAGAAATCATTTGATCTATGTAGTGAGGAAAGAACTCACAAAATCTTAAAGGACTCACCTAAAACAGAAATATGTCAAACTTGTGCTTGGAACACAGGTCTTCTGACCCATAGTGTTCTTTCCATTCTCCCTCACTGCTTTTGTGTCCTACATATTTTAATGTGTCCCCTATACATCCTAACTAGTCACACTATCAGGTAGACTGATAAGAATAATTTTAGAAAGTCAACCTCCCTGACTTTTTCAACAGTGTCCCAATTACCTTTTGCTCTCCTGTGTATAACAGTAGGTTTGTCCTCCTGCTGGATTTTCACCTATTGGGGCACGTGGAAAAGGAGGCCCTGGGAAAGCAGGTAGATTGGCCATCTTTTCCAAGGTTTGTTGTTTTACCACTGCATCAGACCATCGGGTTAGTCTTTAAAAATTACCTCAAGAAAGCCAAACTTTAAGCTCACAGTCACTTTTCAAACTTCCAGAATCCTAAGACTCTTCTAAGTATTTGTAGCTCAAAGTTAAGCAGTACAGGTAGGACAGGTAGAAACTAAGTCCACCTACTCAAGGAACCGGGTGAAAGCATAATCTATTTAACAGTACAAGAGGGTGAGGATTGCCCTCCTGCTCTATTTTCTTTTTCTCTCTCTACTGTGGTAAGTGCATTATTTAACCCTTCTAGCAAGTTTTCTTCTTTAAGCAAAATACCATAAAATGGTATAGAAATGTGAATTAGCATGCTATGTTTATGGTAAAGTGAAGAGATAATTATGGATGCAGTTTCAGACCTAGTGAGATTTTTTTTTAATAATAAAAGTTAACAAGAATAATGTTGGATTTTGGTAGTCAATGAATGTGTTATGGTGATAGAAGTGAGATGCTAAATATATTATCATTACATGTTCTTTGATTATTCAGTACTTTTAATGTATAAGAAATCATTTGATCTATGTAGTGAGGAAAGAACTCACAAAATCTTAAAGGACTCACCTAAAACAGAAATATGTCAAACTTGTGCTTGGAACACAGGTCTTCTGACCCATAGTGTTCTTTCCATTCTCCCTCACTGCTTTTGTGTCCTACATATTTTAATGTGTCCCCTATACATCCTAACTAGTCACACTATCAGGTAGACTGATAAGAATAATTTTAGAAAGTCAACCTCCCTGACTTTTTCAACAGTGTCCCAATTACCTTTTGCTCTCCTGTGTATAACAGTAGGTTTGTCCTCCTGCTGGATTTTCACCTATTGGGGCACGTGGAAAAGGAGGCCCTGGGAAAGCAGGTAGATTGGCCATCTTTTCCAAGGTTTGTTGTTTTACCACTGCATCAGACCATCAGGTTAGTCTTAAAAAATTACCTCAAGAAAGCCAAACTTTAAGCTCACAGTCACTTTTCAAACTTCCAGAATTCTAAGACTCTTCTAAGTTTTTGTAGCTCAAAGTTACGCAGTACAGGTAGGTCAGGTAGAAACTAAGTCCACCTACTCAAGGAACCGGGTGAAAGCATAATCTATTTAACAGTACAAGAGGGTGAGGATTGCCCTCCTGCTCTATTTTCTTTTTCTCTCTCTACTGTGGTAAGTGCATTATTTAACCCTTCTAGCAAGTTCTTTTCTTTAAAAAAAAAAAAAAGAACAAACAAAAAGTACAAAAAAGTAAAATACTAATCCAGACCACATAAATGCAAACTAATTATTTCTATTCATAAGTAGAATGTTTTTTTTCTGAATATAGTTTTGACCTAAATAGTAGTAGGAAATTATAAAATGACACATAATTGTAACATAAGTAGGATTAACGTAACATCTTTCTCACCATATTAACTAAGTAACTCAAAAAATATTGTGTTCCGTTTTTCTCAATCATAAAACCACAGTGATCTAAGTTTAAGACTAAAAGAGACATTTCAAAAGTATTTCTCAGCAAATTCCATGCTGGTGATTATTTCAGAAAAACTGAATGTTTAAAATATGGATAGTCTCACAAATCCACATTTATAAATACTAGTAATAGTTTTATTTAAGTCTTGTTTTTTTAAAGTCATTCTCCATGCAGAGTATGGATTTAACACACAGTATTATTTGGGATATTATGTGTGAGACATTAAAAAATAATGATTATGGCTTAAAATGTATTTACTCGGATATCTGACAATCATTAAAAAGACATCTGTTCCAATGACTAGTGTTGGCTTTATTTTAAATCCCAACCAAATGTTAAAACAAGAAATTAGATTTTACAAAGCTCAGTTTTCTACAATCTTTGAATCAAAGATTGACATTTCTACTGGAATGCTTAATATATTTCAAAGTTTTAAATTATAAGAAAATAATATTAATCATCAGACATCAGATATATATTGTCTATGAATCAAACTTTCTGAAAAATTTCAGATGAGTATTTAGTTAAAAGTTACAAATTTTTCAAAAAATATATACTGTTCTACATGTATTTTCAAAAAGAACAGTTTGAAGTTTGACTTGAGGAATTTTTCTTGCTTAATTTTAAATATCCAAAACTATTTGATTTGATTATTATTACCTCATCCATAATGATGTAACCTTTGGAAATTGCCATTTAATAAATTAATATACATAGATAAAAATGGCTCACTGATGATATTAAGTATTCTGGATTTTGAGGCTTCCCCCTCATATATGTATCTTAATATAAGTAAACATCATTTGTACATTATTTTGAGTATTTTATTATTTTATAAAGTGCTGTTTTTCTTTATTAATGTATTGATAGTGCTTCTCATTTTAGATCCTCTTTATTAAAATCCTGCTAAAACATTGTTCATTATAGAATGAATTTAAACATCACAACTCAGTTCACACTCCCTGAGATATGTTTAGCCTATAGGGCAGGTAGGTGTTGGTTTACTTCTCTCACAGGAGGGTTTTTCTACTGTTGTCAGAGTTCTACTTGTTTCCAGAAAAAGCATATCTGCAACCTTCAGTGCCATTGTAACCATCAGCATCATGCACTATTATACTAAAGAGTAATGCCCTTTCCAAGGGAGCTGTAATGACCTAAAATGATGATTAAAGGATGTTAGAGATATATAATCTAATGACATAAGAATAACTGGAAAGAGGACTTTTACAATTACTTATTTTCTAGCATGTTTGTTCTACATTAACTATCAGTTCAGATCTATGCCAGTGTATTTGGATAAGGTTTCTCTTACAAATCAGTGGTTGAAAAATTACATTCTCATACAGACTAGGCAGGTAACATAAATGCTAAACTGTTTACAGTTTGACCACGTTACCTTCCCTTGAAAACACTTTCCAAGGTCAAACAAAATCAATTACAAAACCCCTTGCAATGTCTTTCAACCTCAGAAAATTGTGATAATGGAGAGTTTCCCAAAAGCAGGTTATTTTCTTCCAGGTGTAAATTTAAGACAAACATTAATGACAGACTTATTCATACAAAACAGACTTGTTCATCACGTTATCACAGATCCGTTTATTATTTTTAAAAGAAAAGAAAACAATGATGAAGAAGTTATAGTGAACAGAATACGATATGGAAACGAATGAAAAGTAAGAATTTACAAACAGAGATAGAACTGGCTCTGGCACATGAAGTCAATTTTAAATTAACCAACAACAGAAAACAAATCCACCTTCTCTGTGACAATGAACTAACAATGATTTTTTATGTGAAAATATCAACCTAACACTAAATTGATATTTGTAGAAGAAATGTCTTTTAAAAAATTGGTTCATTAACAAATAGGTAAGATAACTTACTATAAAAATTGGACAGTATTTCAGCAGACCCCCCCACCCCCAAAAACTTCAAAATCCTACTAAATTTCTATCAGAATGTAATCCATGTTTCATTTGGATTCTCGGAATTTTAGGTTCTGACAGAACAGCTATTCAGTAACCAGATAACTAAGAAAAATAAACCGCATACAATGCTGAAATGGTTACTCTTCCTTCTCGTCAGTCATTCAGTTTTCCACTGCAAAAGTAAGGACTGTGCCCTCTTATGCTGTGAGAGGAGGTAAAAACATAGACATGGATTTAGGGTGCCTGCCTTCAAGACAGCCTTGATCTCTTCAGGTGCTATTCTGAATAGTGTTCCAGTCTATGTATTGGATTTGGTTCTAGTCACATTTGCACCAAAACGCACACAGGTGTGTCCAATTCCCGTGACCCCCTCCCATATACCCTTCTGGGTTCATATACCCTTGCTGCACCGCTGCTGTGGAAGCAGGAGTTTGAGGAATAGAGAATTAGCTCTATTCATACATAAAGAGCTAAGTTGCATTTGCTTCCTTTCAGATGATGTATGGAAACAGAGTTTGAGGCACGTGAGCTCCACACAGTTAATGAAAAAGTCCAAATTTATACTCTCCCCAGAATGATGCCCCAGGCTCTACTAAACTCACAAACTGATAACCTGCTCCCTTAGTCTGCATTCATCTGGTGATGATCAGGTTTTAAAACTGTGTATAAAAGGCTCAGTTAATTGTCTATGGTTGTGTTGGAATAAACAACATATTCATTGCGATTTGGTTTGTTTTTGTTAACCTTTCATGCGAGCTGCAGATCTACACAAAGGAGCAGAGTGCCCCGCACGGCATTCAGGTTCATTTACCTTCTGAACACTGAGGAATGTCACAGACTTCGTAGCGTACCTCTGGATTGCTTGTGAAACACCACGGTCCCCCTTCTTCCCCTCGAGGATTTCGACAGTAGTTTTCCTGTAGGTCTTTACCCCGATAGCTCGAAGGCAAAAAGCTAGTTTTAAAATGATAATCATTACAGTATAAGCGCATGCAACTTTACTTTGGGCCTATTAAATTTACTAATTAGTGGGTATATTTTCCCTGAAAGTAGAGAAACATTTATTCTAGATCAGGTCTCCATATACAGGGTGGGTGGGGCAAAAGTAGGTTTACAGTTTGTGAATACGCAAAACACAGTTTTTTCTTGTATAATTATTTATTAATTATGTATTGTTTTCCATATGGACAACTGTAAACCTACTTCTGCCCCATCCTGTATATTAACTTTAAGTGCTATTTCCATCCATTCTTAACATCCTTAAATTTTATAAACACTTAGCTAACAAGTCACATGTTCACCATCATTAAGAATGATTCATCTCTGGATTTTCCAAGAGCCAAACATTTAAGAACCTAGTGAATATTGTTTGTACCACAATTTCAAAGCTTCATTCAAAGGCAGCAAGTGATTGAGCAAGGCCACTAAGGAGAAAACTGAAGAAACACTGCAATTGACCTTGAAATCTCACAGTTACAGTGCTTATCCCACATAATTGCTTGTTTATTTGTTGCTTTTATTATGAAGAATGTCCCTCCTATAACAACTAAGAAACAGCTTGATGAAGTAACAGGAACCAAGGGTCTAGAGAATCAAATTAAACCTGGACTCAAATTTCAACTCTCTCACTTACTAACTAGAGATCCAGCAGGTAACTTGACCTCTCAGCCTATTAGCTTACCTGTACAATGAATATAACCATAACTTATAACACAGCAGACTGTGTAACCATATCTTACACAGTATATGGTTGTTTTGAGAAGTTCTAAGAGATGACAGAGTAATTGACAATAAATGCTACCTAATATTAAGCACACTCCACTTAGTAGTCTTTACTCTGTGGAGTAAAAATTAAACAATTGAATGAACAATTAAAGCTCATATGATTTCACTAGTTTCCTAACAGTTTTAATTTTCAAAGGAAAAAGGAGTCATCTTTTGTCTTAGTTTTAGTCCTATTATTCCAGAATAATTTAGGATACCTTTTGTATGTGCCATTGCTTGAAATTTTTTCATTTTTGTCAGTTCTTCAATTTTTGATAGTAAATTTATAATGAAATACTATTGTTCTGATAGAATCAAAACTGATTTTACTCTTTTTCATAAAGTAATGTATTAATCAAATTTACCTTAGAAAATTCTCTTATAACTCTATTTTATGGAAAAGCTTAGTATAGTAGAGTAGTAAGAATAAGTTCTTGTTAATCACAAAATCTACATCGCTGCCACATATGACACCAGTTCTTAGACTACCTATTTACTTTTGGGGTTTTCAACTTCCAGATGTATAAGATGAATAGAGTAAATTGGATTATTATGAGGTCCTTCATTTTGTATCATTTTACAGACTCAGTTTACTTAAGAAACTAAATAATGGATTTAGCACATGTTAAATGAACACATTAAATATCTAGCTTTAGAGAAGATTTTTGTTCTACACACACACACACACACACACACACACACACACACACAAATAAATATATACACACATATACCTTTCCAGTGGATTTTTAAAGCAAAAAAGAAGCTGTTAAGAAGTAGTGAATGAATCAAAAAACAATTTAGTAGGAAAAATACAAGTAGAAAGGTAGATAAAGCGTAAATCAAACCTAAAAGTGGCTGAAAAATGAATAAACTTGTCCCACTAGAGTTAACAAAATGAGAAATGAAGAGAAAAGATGTGCTTCTTTTCACAATTCTTTATCAATTCATATCGAATTCCTCTTGAAGGCATGCAGGGTAACAAGAATACTGGGTCATCTCTTCTCTTCATTCTTTGGCATATATGACTTTTTACCCAAATTAACTGGTTTTCCTTTGTGCTTTGAGGTGTTAGCATGCTTTTCTGTAGCAGCCTGTACCTGACCGAGGGGTGAAGCCTAGTCCTGCTCTTTTCACTTATTTGTGTTCATTCAACAAATGTTTATGAAAACCTGTTACACCAAAGCCATATGCCAGTCAACAGGATTTGTAATAAACTTTTATTTACATATATACTATTGTTGGTTCTTTGTCCTTGTTGGCAAGGCTTTAAGAGAGATAAGTGAAGAAATATTTAAAATTGAGTTATATTTAAAGGTACTTTGAAATATAAATTAGATCTTCTGGTGCTAGTCACCTTTTCTTTTCTTTTAATATAAACAGTGTTCATAGGAAACTTGATCTATTCCATCATCTGCTTCATTAATGAATGCTGGGTGGCCAATGAAAGATAGAGGTGTAGATATCAGGTCACCTGATTCTCTGGTTAAGTTTCTATGCTCATTTCATCATCTATCATCATCTTCCCATTAAGCCACTTGTAAAATATTTCAATTTAGGGAGTCAACAACAAATCATTCCTCTAGACAAAGACATTTATATATTTCTTTTTCCATTTCCCATGAAGTTAATCTTTAGTTAACACTTAAAAGTGTTAAGCAATTATGTTGATATTCCAATAAGCTGATAATTGATGATCATTAAGTGTTGCTCCCACTGAATTTTTTAAAATGTTGATTAATGTACAAGATCTTCTCAGCCCTAAACTCAAGGAAATGTTTGTTGGAAAAATAGCTGATCGGACTGGAAAGCCTGTTCCCAGGGAGATCTATTTCACAGTTACTCCGCTAGCGGAGAATCACAATCACAGAGAAATTGGATTGAAATAAGGCCTCTACTGGGTCAGTCCAGTGCACTCTCCTTAACTAAGGCTGGATTGATTTCAAATGCTATTCCTTTGTTCATGAAAAGCATAGATCTATCTATTTAAATAAGATGTTTTCCGTAATATCCTGGGAATGACACCATCCACATACTTATGAGAGGACAAAACCAATTATATTGTTTGTTTTTTAAATAAAAGGACAATTCTCTATTTCACAGATATCTGTGTGTAATTAAAAGTAACTATGATCTCCCTTATATGTGGAAGCTAATGAACAAAATAAACTGACCAACAAAGTAGAAACAGAGGCATGGATGCAAGGAACAGACTGACAGCTGTCAGGGGGGAGGGAGAAGGGAGAGGCTGGATAAAAGAAGGTGAAGGGATTAGCCAAAGAACATATATGCATAACCCATGGTCACAGACAACAGTGTGGTGATGGCCAGAGGGAAGGGGGAGTGGGGAATGGGTGGAGGTGGACAAACGGGGGATAATGGGGACATCTGTCACAGTGTCAATAGTAACAATAAAGTTAGAAAATAAATTTAAAATCAAAAAATCAATAATTTGGAAAAAATTAGTTGTTTTCTGTTACTGAAACACGGGAATGCTGATCAGTTTGGACACTTACTAGCTGGTGTTAATTAGGCTGAGATCACAAGTTTGATCCCAATGTGAAGCAACAAACTCTTTTTCTTTGTATGTGGACCAATTCACTCATCTTTGTTTACTGAAGTAAAATCATCTTTCATAATTATACCCTCCAAAAATTAATGGAGTGGGATAAAAAGTGGATTCATTAAGGCAAAGTTATCCTAACTATTGCAAAAACAAGTGACAGCCTGTGTCCTACTGACCTGCTAAGTGTATGATGCCCTGGGCTTGTTAAAAGCAGGACTCAGATTCTGGCCATCCCACTTACTAGATGTGAATGACCTGGAAAGGTTACTAAGGCTCTTTGTGCTCCAGCATCCCCCTATATAAAGGCAGAATTAATAAAACCATCCACTATGTGTTTCTTGGAAAGATTAAAGGACATAGACGCGGTATACTGCTCAGCAAGGTAACTGGCACGTGGTAATCTAAATCTTCTAATGCATTTCATAACCAGGGTGAGCTGTTTTTCAACTACTTTAGTTGCAGTTAAAATTATTTGTAAAATAAACCTTGAAAACTGGCTAAATTTAGTTCTCTAGTTGGGAGTAGATACAGTGGGGCCTTGACTTACGAGTGTCCCGACTAAAGAGTTTTTCCGAGATACGAGCCTCTCGGCGGATTTTTTGCTTTGAGTTGACAGAGTAATTTGAGTTAACCAGCTCCTTAACGAGCTCCATCACAGAACGAATTAAACTCGTAAGTCAAGGCCCCCCTGTATCTATGTTTCTCCTCCATTATGATTAAAACTTTCAGACTAATGAGCCTATGGCTACTATGTTTAAATAGCATTCATTAGCATTCACCTCATAATGAACACAATTTTAAGTGTAGACATTTAATTCCCAAGGAATGAGAGGTTGTGTTTTGTTTTGTTTTCAGTCATCCGACAGTAGGTAAAACGGGAAAGCTGGTCAGAGGCATGCGTTTTTAGCAGCCGTTCTCAGTTTTGACTGCACTTTGGAATCATCTGGTGAGCATTTTTTAAAAATCAGATGGCACATGGGTTATTTCCCCAAGAAATGTTGATTTAATTGGTCTATGCTGATACCTGGGTGGCAGGATGTGTTTTGGGCTTCTAGCACGTGATGTTAACGTGCAGCCGAGGTTGAGAACCACCATGGTTAAAGAACATTTGGCCACTAGGTAAGGTCAGAATGTGATCCATCTCTAATTTATACAGTCAACCTCTCCACCTCCAGCTGCACAATGCGGAACCTTTTTGAAGGCAAAGGGAGGGGGGGGAATCTTAAAATTATGTTTCCATTACTTTTTCACAAACACTAGGATCTCTAAATTGAAGTTTTGAGGTAGGATGACGTTAGGCCACATCTTAATGATAAATTTGTTCATCTTTGGCTAAATACCAGTCATGGGTTCACATCATCCTTGGCCTACTATAATTCAGCAAGGTTGTCTATGCTATTACAGAACTGTAGAATTATTCTGAAGGACCAATGTGAGATTTATAACACACATAATCAAGAAAAGAGGTTTATCCTCTCTTCTTCATGCTGTTCTTACCTGTGCTCGTGGGGTATCATGGAATTCCAGGGCTGGCATTTGATGCCACTCTTAGTGATAGATACTGTTCCTTTGTAGCTACCTCCTTTACCAATAATGCAGTTTCTAATATAGTCTATCAGAAGAAAGCAGAGACAAATGCTATAACTATGGGTAACATGCAGTATATATCTAAAAGTAAAAGAAACTTCCATTCAAACCTTTAAGTAATTAACACTTGTAAACTACTGTTTTTCAAATCGTATTGAAATGTATTGCCTAAAGCTTCTACTAATATTTTCAAAATAATACCTTTCAGAATAATCCAAAACAAGAACAACAACAAAAAGACTATTGAGAAGTTTTAATTTTGTGAGCATATACTTGGATAACTGAAGATATTAGTCTATGTATTTAACATAGTCTCTACACTCAACTGGCCAAACTTAATTTGGCAGAATGATTTGCTCAATTATGCAGACCATGTTAAGAAAATATTAAAAATGAAAATCAATGGATTTATAAAACCTATAATGAATTCACAAAGTTACTTTAAGATAATAAAAATAACTAATTTGTCTTTTAGTAAAATGGTGTGGGTTTTGTATATACGTATATGTGTGTGTGTGTGTGTGTGTGTGTGTGTGTGATATAATTATATTATTTTGATTTTTTCCATGTTTTTGCTAATATTTCCACTGTTAAATTGCAGGGCAATCAAATTGAAACATGCTGAATATTTCTGTCAAACAATATCAACTACAATACAGTTGTTAGTTGAAGATGGTCTTATACTAGAGTACGAATTATATTTAGGATTTGTAGAATTATCGGGGTGTATAGATATCATCTTATTTTCTACCATGAACCCATATTAATTTAATTTAGACATATACCATATTATAAGAAAATATCTGTGTATATTACCAAATACCTAAATTAATAAGATAACATGATTGAAGAAAGCATTAAAATTAAAATTAATGCTATTATCATAAATACAATCCATAACTATTTCTTGTGATGAGAGATTTATCTTCTCAAATTCATGTTTATTTAACATTCTTCAATAATTTGATATAGTTCTGCTTTTTACAAAGTAAATACCTTGTGACTATAATATCAGAATACTAAAATAGACAAATTAACAAAAAATTTGGTCTCAATTCTTCTTTTAAAAAAATTTCATTAGCCTGGCCAGTGTGCTTAGTAGTTAAGTGTCAAACTATGAACCAGGAGAT